TGTTATTAGTGAAATAAAACCAAAATTTGTTAGATTTTACTAATTTTTACGCGTATTTGGGCCCCCATGGCCTGGACAAAATAAAACTCTTTAAAATAATAATCTTACATTCCTCGCGTACTTTTTTAACGACATTAAATTTGGTTGAACGAAGTTTTCATAATTAATTCGTTTTTCATGATTTTTTTATATTATTAATGTTTCTTACGGTCATTGGGGGCCCCCTGGTTCGGGGGCCCCGTATATTTGATACGGCTGATACGACGGTAGTTATGCCCCTGATTCTTACGAAAACATACTTTTCAAGTAAAATAAAGTATTAGAATATAATGTAAAAATATTTCTGAGCATGCGTTCTTTTGGGCCGGGGCCCCTTGGCCCGGGGCCCGTGGCATTTTGCCACCCACGCCACCCTATAATTACGCCACTGTGTTCTGATCTAAAAAGTTTAATGTTCGTATTTTCTCATCGGATTAAATATTGATCAAAGTCAAATCGTGTTTTCAATCATTTATAAAGTAAATATATAGTTCAACTATGTATAACACATGCTTTTCAGCAGAAACCATAAATTTAAACATTTAATTAGATGAAAAAGAGACTCTACTGACGAGCAAACTTTAATTTTAATTTAAAAGATGAAAAAATAAGGATAAATGTATAGAAAAGGACTCTACTGACGAGCAAATTCAGAAAAATAAGGAGAAAAGAACTCTACTGACGAGCAAATTAAACATCAACATAGACGATAAGAAAAAGACTGACATAATATGATAAAAGAACTCTACTGATGAGCAAATTCTGATAAATAAAGAGAAAAGAACTCTACTGACAAGCAAATTCAGGGCAATAAATACTCTACTGCTGAAAATCACTTTTTAAAAAATAAAACTTTTTAAAAAATACTGAAAATCACTTTTTAAAAAATGACTTAACTAGCTTCAAAAACATGAAAAAACGAATTCTACTAACAAACTAAGATTAGATGAAGGTGGGCTCTACTGACGAGCAAACTGAATTTTACTAAGAATATTGGATATTGGACATAAGAAAGCGAATTTCACAAAATTAGAAAATGACCCTACTGACGAACAAGATAATTTTCTGCTTACTGATTTTTTTTTTTTGAAAACGAGATTAGACGCGAAAACAGACTACTGACGAGCAACAGAATTTCAAAAAATAAAATTAGATACAAGAAAAAGGACTCTGAAATTCGGTTTGCTCGTCCCTAAGGTCTATTTTTTAACTTATTCTCTTTGGAATTTTATTTCCTCGTAAGTAGAGCCCCTTTTTTGTTTATTTTTCTGAATTTGCTAGTCATTAGAGTTCTTTTTCCTAATTTTATGAATTTGCTCGAAAGTAGAGTTCTTTTTTAGCTTATTCAGATGCTATTTATCTTGCTTATCAGTAGTGTCCTTTTTCTTATATTCTAGATTTCTATTTAGTTTGCTCACCAGCAGAGTTTCTTTCCATCTCTTTTTGTTTGGAATTTAGTTTGCTCGTCAGTAGAGTCCCTTTTCTATCTTTCAGTTTGGATTTTAATTTGCTCGTCAGTAAAGTCCGTTTTAAGGCTATCTAATCGTTTTTTGGCTATTTAGATTGTTTTCAGGGTAGCTAGAACATTTTCAGACTATCTAGAACGTTTTCAAGCTACATAGAACATTTTCAGACTATCTAGAACATTTTTAAGCTATCTAGATCATTTTTAGTCTAACTAGAACATTTTAAGATTATCTTAAAAATCTACCGTTTCAAGAACAAAACGTTCTCAGGCTATCTAGAACACTGTCAGGCTAACTAGAACATTATTGGACTACTTAGAACATTTTCAGACTAACTAGAACATTTTTAAGCCGAACTAAAACATTTTAAGAACATGATCAGGCAAACTCTAGAACATTTTAGGACTCTCTAAAACATTTTAGAATCATCTAGAACATTTTAGTGCTACTTAGAACATGGTTGGACTATCTGTAGGATTTTCATGTTATCTAGAACTTTCTTAGGCTTTTTGGAATATCTTCCGACTATCTAGAATGCTTTTAGGCTGTCTAGAACATTGTTGGACTATCTGAAACATTTTAGAATCATTATCTAGAACATTTCCAGATTATCTAGAACTATTTTAGGCTTTTTGGAATATTTTCCGACTATTTAGATAATCTAGAACATTCAGGCCATATAGAATATTTTCAGGCTAACTAGAACATTTTAAGGCTATCTTAGAAATCTACCTTTTTAGAACTAGAACGTTTTTATGCAATCTAGAACATTATTGGACTTTTTAGAACGTTTTCAGACCATCAAGAACATTTTTATGCTATTTAGAGCATTTTTAGTCTAACTAGAACATTTTAAGACTCTCTTAAAAATCTACATTTTCAAGAACAAAACGTTCTTAGGCTATCTAGAACATTGTCAGGCAATCTAGAACATTTTTAGAACTTTTTTATGTTATTTAGAACATTTTAAGACTATCTTAAAAATCTAACGTTTCAAGAACAAACGTTTTTAGGCTATCTAGAACATTGTCAGGCTAACTAGAACATTATTGGACTACTTAGAACGTTTTCAGACTACCTTAACATTTTTAAGCCGAACTAGAACATTTTAAGAACAGGATCAGGCAATCTAGAACATTTTTGGACTCTCTAAAACATTTTAGAATCATCTAGAACATTTTAGTGCTACTTAGAACATGGTTGGACTATCTGTAGGATTTTCATGTTATCTAGAACTTTCTTAGGCTTTTTGGAATATCTTCCGACTATCTAGAATGCTTTAGGCTGTCTAGAACATTGTTGGACTATCTGAAACATTTTAGAATCATTATCTAGAACATTTCCAGATTATCTAGAACTATTTTAGGCTTTTTGGAATATTTTCCGACTATTTAGATAATCTAGAACATTCAGGCCATATAGAATATTTTCAGGCTAACTAGAACATTTTAAGGCTATCTTAGAAATCTACCTTTTTAGAACTAGAACGTTTTTAGGCAATCTAGAACATTATTGGACTTTTTAGAACGTTTTCAGACCATCAAGAACATTTTTATGCTATTTAGAGCATTTTTAGTCTAACTAGAACATTTTAAGACTCTCTTAAAAATCTACATTTTCAAGAACAAAACGTTCTTAGGCTATCTAGAACATTGTCAGGCAATCTAGAACATTTTTAGAACTTTTTTTATGTTATTTAGAACATTTTAAGACTATCTTAAAAATCTAACGTTTCAAGAACAAAACGTTTTTAGGCTATCTAGAACACTGTCAGGCTAACTAGAACATTATTGGACTACTTAGAACGTTTTCAGACTATCTAGAACATTTTTAAGCCGAACTAGAACATTTTAGGAACATAATCAGGCAATCTAGGACATTTTTGGACTCTCTAAAACATTTCAGAATCATCTAGAACATTTTAGTGCTACTTAGAACATGGTTGGACTATCTGTAGGATTTTCATGTTATCTAGAACTTTCTTAGGCTTTTTGGAATATCTTCCGACTATCTAGAATGTTTTTAGGCTGTCTAGAACATTGTTGGACTATCTGAAACATTTTAGAATCATCTAAAACATTTTCAGATTCTCTAGAACTATTTTAGGCTTTTTGGAATATTTTCCGACTATCTAGAATATTTTTAGGCTATCTAGAACATTGTTGGACTATCTGAAACATTTTAGAATCACCTAGAACATTTACAGATTATCTAGAACTTTTTTAGGCTCTTTGGAATATCTTCCGACTATCTAGAATGTTTTTAGGCTATCTAGAACATTGTTGGACTACCTTTTAAAATCATCTAGAACATTTCAGATTATCTAGAACTTTTTTAAGTTTTTTGGAATATTTTCCGATTTTCTAGAACATTCAGACCATATAGAATGTTTTCAGACTAACTAGAACGTTTTAAGACGGCCTTGAAAATCTACCTTTTTAAGACTAGAACGTTTTCAGGCTATCTAGAACATTGTCAGGATAATTAGAACATTATTGGACTACTTAGAACGTTTTCAGACCATCAAGAACATTTTTAAGCTATTTTGAGCATTTTCAGTCTAACTAGAACATTTTCAGAATATGTAGAACATTGTCAGGCAATATAAAACATTGTTAGAGTCTTTAGAACGTTTTCAGACCATCTAGAATATTTTTGAGCTATCTAAAGCGTTTTAAGCCTATCTAGAACGTTTTTAGACCATCTAGAATATTTTAAGAACATGATCAGGCAATCTAGAACGTTGTTGGAGTATCTAGAACGTTTTTAGGCCATCTAGAATACTTTAAGAACATGTTCAGACAATCTAGAACATGTTTCAGCTATCTAGAACGTTTTAAGCCTAACTAGAACATTTTAAGAACATGATCAGACAATCTAGAACACTTTTAAGCTATCTAGAGCGTTTTAAGCCTAACTAGAACATTTTAAGAACATGATCAGACAATCTAGAACATTTTTAAGCTATCTAGAGCGTTTTAAGCCTAACTAGAACATTTTTTAAGAACATAATCAGGCAATCTAGAACATTGTTGGAGTATCTGGAACGTTTTTAGGCCATCTAGAACATTTTAAGAACATGATCAGGCAATCTAGAACATTTTTAAGCTATCTAGAACGTTTTAAGCCTAATTAGAACATTTTAAGAACATGATCAGGCAATCTAGAACATTTTCAGATTATTCAGAACTTTTTTATGTTATTTAGAACATTTTAAAATCTATATTTTTAAGACTAGAACATTTTCAGGGTATCAAAATATTTTGAGGCTATCTAGAACATTTTCACATTATCTAAAATCTCTTCAGATTACCTGCAATATTTTTAGGCAATTCTCAATTGATCACTTTCATACTTTCTTCTTTGGCTTTAGAAGTTTTACTTCAACAAAAAAATACGTAACAAAATCTTACATTAATATAACATTTCACCACTTACTTGGAGACTCCAACTGTCTTCTATACATAACATCCTTGGCTTCGTCGAGTATATCACTCAAAAAACAACATCCCCCTTTCTCGTACTCATTCCTCTGATACGACCAAACTTTACATGTTTACACTTTTCATACAAACTTGTATCGATTTGTTTCAAAGTCTCAAACAGGGCTACGAAGTGATCCGTTTGGGCATTATCCACAATGTAATACATATTATCAAAGTTGTACTTTGTGTGTCTGTCTAGGGCTGCTGCAATGTCCCGGGATAAATATAGGGATGACCCATCGCTCTTGATAACAGTTACATTACGGTTAAATAGTTCTACATATTTTTTACCATCAGGGGATGTTTTGAGGATGTTTTTGGTTTCTAATAACTTAATAACATCGTGTAAGCTTTTACGATCGTACATGGACTCCCAATGGTACTCCTGGAACTCCACATTGAGTCTTTTATACACTTGAATCAACTCATCAACAGTATACGTCCGATACAAATGCCATTTTTCCATATCCTCAGCACCACCTTGTTCCAAACGTGCAAAAACCTCACGAGCCCTATCACTGATAGTAGAATCTTCTGTGCTAACTTATTAGCATGCACGTAAGCTTTGTATAATAATTCTATAGGGCTCTTACGCATTTCATCATCGTTTATATTCAATAAGTCCACACCGAGTTTAAGGAAACCGAACTGAGTGCCCCAGTCACCTAAATAGTTCAACCGTATTACATCGTGCCCTAAAAAATCCTTTAAATTTGCTATAAAGCTTCCTATAATGGTTGACCTTAAGTGCCCCACGTGGAAAGGTTTTGCTATATTAGGAGAACTGAACTCGACTAGAGTTTTTATACCTGTTTTAGGCCTGCGGAGGTATAATTGAGACTGCAGGTTTAATGTGTGTTTTATAAAGTATTTAGTGCTTGTTTTGAAGCACACATAAGGATATTTCACTTGTGTGTTTATATGCACATCATAAAACAAATCGGTTTTGGCAAAATTATCAAAATTTTGATGCTGAAGTTTATTTAAAGGTATTTGGAGCTCTATACAGTTGTTTTTGTAAGCACCTATTTGTATAAAAGGTGCTATGGAAGCCTGTGGGTGATTTAAACCGGTTTTTCTTAAATGCTCTATAACCTAAAACCAAAGAACATGAATATAGTACAACATAATAAAACATTTATAGTTTATTATATTATATATGTATTTTATTACCTGTTCGCTTAACAAGCTTTTAATTCTACCAGGCATTTTTGTTTATTATCTATTTACATAATATTTATTTTGTTTATTGGTTATGACGTTTGACAGTTGCTACTTGACAGTTGACACTTTTTTTTGGGTTTTCTTCGCGTGATTTTGTAAATTATAAACATATATTAAAATATAACACATATTCATCACATTTTGAACTTATAATAATGATTTATATTAATAAATTATTGTTTTTTGTATATTAAATGCGTTTTGACAGTTTTCACTACAAACATGGCTGACATATTGACCATCTGTCAAACTTATTTTAAATTTTATTTCGAGCATCAAATACTTATTTACCTTAATTACTATTATTATATAAATTATATTGATAATATTTTAAACTTATAATTATGATTTATTTAAATAATTTATTATTTTCTGTATATTATATGCCTTGACAGTTTTCACAACAAACATGGCTGACATCTGACATATTCATCAACTGTCAACTCGTTAGTTTAAAATTTATGCGAATATTAAATAATTATTAAACAATAATTACTATTAATATGCAAATTATAATTATAATACATTAAACTTATAATTATGTTATAAATATATAAATTATTGTTTTTGTGCATATTAAATACGTTTTGACAGTTTTCACTACAAACATGGCTGACATATTCATCAACTGTCAACTTGGCTTGATGATTAAATAATTATTTCAATTATGATTACTATTATTATATAAATTATATTCATAATATCTCAAACTTATAATTATGATTTATATAACTAAATTATTATTTTTTGTATATTATATGTCTTGACAGTTTTCACTAACAAACATGGCCGCCACAACTGCAAACTGTCAACTGTCAACTTCACGCTTGATGAAGACAGTGACATTGTTTGACGTTTAAAAGGTTATAATAATTATTTTATTTTAGATATTTGTGCTTACTCAATATAAATTATGGCTGATGTGAAAGATTTAAAAGATGTGGATTTATACGGGTTGCTCAATATACAAATATCTGCCACGACACAAGAGGTAAATAGAAAATTATTATTTTAATTGTGAAGTTTGAGGTTAAGATCAACAATTGATATTTAATAACATAATTTTATGAAATAACTTCAATACTTATAGTATTTATATACTTTCATTAAATATTATGCTTATTTAAATATATATATATATATATATATATAGTGTCTTTTATCATTACCATTTAATTTATTAACTAATTCTTATCATTTACCCAACTTAGCTCTTTTGACAATTTATTTCACTGTCTATTATTTTTCAGATAAAAAAAGCCTACAGGAAAAAAGCCCTACAATGTCACCCCGATAAAAACCCCGACAATCCAAAAGCAGCAGAACTATTCCACCAGCTATCGAAAGCCCTAGAAATCCTCTGTGACAAATCAGCACGAGAGGCCTACGACAGAATATTGAATGCCAAAAAGGCTGCAGAGTTACGACACAAAGAATTAGATAGCAAACGACAAAAGTTGAAATCGAATTTGGAGGCACGAGAACAGAGTGCTGTTTTAGAATCTAAGAGTAAAAGTAGTTTTAGTTGTAAGACGCCTGAGGAACAATTGCAGGCTGAGATTGAACGGTTGAGGAAAGAAGGTTAGTGAGATAATGGATATATATGTATATATGTATATATATATATATATATATATATATATATATATATATATATATATATATATTAGGGTGGTCCTTAATATGAATGTTTTTGATTTTTTTCGCGCCCAAGGGCTCAAACGCTTCCAAATTAGTAAAAAATAAATCTCTAAAAGTTTTAGTTATAAGTATGTATGTGTGTGTGTTTTTTTGTATAGCGAAGAGAGTATTTTTTTTCTTTCCAAACTAGGTCTTTTGTCTAGGTATGTCAGACTCAATAAACCGATTCGAAACTCATAAACCGTTTTGTCCTTGCCTATTGCTGATAGGCATTACTTCGTGGGGGGAGGATCTAGAATGTTATCATTCTCACACTGTATGAGTGTGTGTGTGAGCCAAAATTTGGATTTTTGTAGACTTTTTTTTCCAAAAGCTTTTGCATCTATTTTAAATATACAAAAGACATTCATACAAATTTTGCATTAAAATAATAATTACAAATAATTTTATTAAACTACAAAAATTATTTTTATGCTTAGTTTGATTGTCAGTAGAGTTCTTTTTTTTATTTTAATATTTGTAGTAGACATTTTCTTTTACTTTATTTTTCTTTTGCTCGTCAGCAGAGTCTCTTTTTTTCTTTTATTTTTAGTTTGCTCGTCAGTAGAGTCCCTTTTTCATATTAGTTTGGTTTGCTTGTCAGTAGAGTCTTTTTTCTTTTTATTTTTAGTTTGTCAGTAGGGTCTATTTTTTATTTTATTTGAAGTTTGCTCATCAGTAGGGCCTCTTTTTCCTTATATTTATTTTTTGTTTGTCAATTGAATCCCTTTTCATTCGATTTTTAGTAGAGTCTTTTTACCGTCCATTTGATCTTTTGCTTGTCAGTAGAGTCCCTTTTCATTTCAATTTTGGTTTGCTTGTCAGTAGAGTCCTTTTTTCATTTTATTTTAGTTTGCGCGTCAGTAGAGTTACTAATCTTTTGCATTTTTGAGTTGCTTGCCAGTAGAGTCCTTTTTATCTTTTATTTTCATTTTGCTCGTCAGTAGAGTCCCTTTTATTGCTGATTTTTTTTGCATCAAAATTTAATTTGCTCGGCTTTTTATTTGTTACTCAACGAAATTTTGCCCACTTTATTCATTTAATCTTGACTTTGCTCTTCAGTTGAGCTCCTTTTTAATTTAATTTTTGTTGTACTTGTTAGTAGAATTCCCCTTTTATTTGATTTTTAGTTTTCTCGTCAGTAGTCCTTTTACATTTCATTTTGAGTTCGCTCGTCAGTAGAGTCCCTTCTTCCGTTTTATTGAAGTAAATCTCCTTTAGGCGCGACTAGGTGATAAATCTGTGAAAATGCAACGGAAAACGCGTTACGCTCATTAATCATTCGCTCTCGATGAGATCATTTCTATAAGGGTCGATTGTGATTGGTCGTCGTGTCACGTGAGCGTCTTTGCTTTAACTACTAGTATTGGTTTTACAAGCAATTAGCATTAGCAAATAAGTTTTACTTCAATCGCGTGTGAACCTTATGCGCATTCTTTTTTCTTTTTTTTCTATTTTGTACGTCAGTAGAGTCTTTTTTCAAAGTTTGCTCGTCAGTAGAGTTCATTTTTGGTATAGACAGATTTATTATGGAAGCAAAGTAAATATAAAATGGACTCTACTGACGAGCAAACTGAAATTAAAAAATGGGAACTCTATTAACGAGCAAATAAAAATACTATTTTTAAGAAAATCGATCTGGGACAAAAAGAGACTCTACTGACGAGCAAATGCAAAACAAATAGATAATGAAAGAAATCAGAATACAGAAAAATTAAAAAAAGAACTCTACTGACGAGCAAACTAATTCCTGATTTTACAAAAGAAAGGACTCTACTGACGAGCAAACTCAAATGAAATAAAATAGGGATTCTAGTGATGAGAAACCTAAAAATAAAATGAAAAGGGACTCTACTAACGAGCAAAAGAAAAATAAAATCAAAAAGGGACTCTACTGACAAGCTAACTAGGCAGTGACAATTCATCGAGACACATAGAAATTAGTGAGATTCAAACATTCTTAAACGAATTAAGAAAGAGAGGAAAAGGGACTCTACTGACAAGCAAAAGGAAAAATTGAAAGGAAAGAGAGACTCTACTGACAAGCAAACTTAAAATAAAGGATTATTCTGACAAGCAAATTAAAAATAAAAGGGACTATACTGACTAGCAAACTAAGAAATAAAACTAGTTGGTTTGGTATTTAGCCTTGAGGCAAATTACATGAACTTCCCGATATGTGTAAATAATCGACTTGATCAAAAAAATGTGTAAATACTTCATCAATCCTACTTTAAAAAAAAACGATAATAATTTTAGCAAAGTTTGACGAATTTTTAAAATTAAACTACTTGTCGTAAGGCCGTAATATTTCAGTAAGTTCTGTAAGACCATGATGTATATCGCCAAAAAAAAATTCCATGAAAAACGGCTTAAATTTTTTTTAACAGTTAATTACAAGAAAACGGCTCGGTAGATTTTCACCTAAAATTAATCAGCATCATTCCCAAATGATATCTTTCGAACAGTTTTTGATTTTTCAAAATCGGTTCGGTAGGATAAGCTTAAATGTGAACGAAAATTTAACACTTTTTTTCAACAGTTAATTACAAGAAAACGGCTCGGTAGATTTTCACCCAAAATTAATCAGCATCATTCCCAACTAATATCTTTCGAACAGTTTTTGATTTTTTAAAATCGGTTGGGTAGGATGAGCTTAAATGTGGACGAAAAGTTCAACACTTTTTTTCAAATTACAAAGAAACGGCTTGGCAGATCATTGCACAAAACTGAACAAACGATAGTCCTCACCGAAATACATCAAATGGCTTTTAAATTTCTAAAATCGGTTCAGGCGTTTTTGAGAAAAACGTCGATCAAAAGTCTAATTTTGACAAATGCCAAAAAGACCATACTGATTTTTGCAAACTTTGACGATTTTTTAAAGCTGAACCAGTTGTCGTAGGGCCGTAATATTTTAGTATGATCTAGAAGACTATGGTATCTATGGACAAAAAAATAATCATAAAAATCGTCGAAATTTTTTTTTTAAAAACTTTATTACAAGAAAACGGCCCGGCCGATCTCTACCAAAAACTAATCAGCACGATTCCCAACCAGTATCTTTCGAACGGTTTTTGAATTTTCAAAATCGATTCATAACTGCGGGCTAAAACGTGGACGAAAGAGTTTTCACTTCTCTGCTATTTACGAAGAAACGGTTTGGGCGATCGTCGCACAAAACTGACAAACAATAGTCCTCATCGAGATACATCGAATGGCTTTTAAATTTTTGAAATCGGTCCAGCCGTTTTTGAGAAAACGGCGATTTACGGCAAAAAATCTGTTGGTGCACACGCACACAC